ACCTCCTGGACGTCGAGGGGTCAGTGGGGACCCCCCCCGTGATTCCCGGGATGGATCCAGCCCTGAGGGAAAGGGGGGAGAGGGAGGGAAGCACCTGAGAGAGCCCGAGGTCCAACATTCCAGCGTCGGGAGCCCACCCTGGGGGTCTCCTGGGGGCTGAATCCCAACCTGGATTCCTCTCCGGGCTCTGTCCTACCATGGGAAGGGATGAATGCCTTGGACCCCCCCAGATCCCAGTCTCGGGAGCAGATTTGGCAGCTGAGCCCACCCTGGGGGTCCCCCGGGCGCTGAATCCCAACCCGAATCCCACCCCAGGCTCCGTCCCGTTTTGGAGAGGGAAAAGCAGGTTTTCCAGCACCTCGGAGCCCCCAAATCCCAGACTCCAGTCCTGGAGGGGGGAGGCTCTGAATCCCAACCCAGGGATCCCAACCCAGGGATCCCAACCTGAATCCTAACCCAGGGAGAAGCAGCTTTCCCTGCCCCTCGGAGCCCCTGAATCCCAAATCCCAGACTCCAGTCCTGGGGGGGGACGCTCTGAATCCCAACCCGGGGATCCCAACCCGAATCCCAACCCAGGGATCCCAACCCAGGGATCCCAACCCAGGGATCCCAACCCAGGGAGCAGCAGCTTTCCCCACCCCTCAGAGCCCCCAAATCCCAGACTCCAGTCCTGGGGGAGGCTCTGAATCCCAACCCAGGGATTCCAGGCCCCTCAGATCCCCGGAATCCCAACTCCCAGCCCCTCCATCCCACTTTAACCCTCTCCCTTTTCCCTCCCCCAGGCTGGAGCAGGACCCCCCCCCTCCTCCTCCTCCTCCGCCCTCCTCCGACCCTTCTCCCTACGGGAAGTGCTCCCGGACCTTCATCTCCTTCAGCGACGACGAGACCTTCGAGCGCTTCTTCCCGAAATCCAAACCCCCCCGGCTGCCGGTGCGGGAGCTGTGCCCGGTGACCCACCGGCCGGCCCTGTACCGGGACCCCGTCACCGACATTCCCTACTCCAGCATCCGCGCCTTCCGCATCATCCGCGAGGCCTACAAGAAGTACATCACGGCCCACGGCCTGCCCGGAGCCTCCCTGGGAATTCCGGCGCCTCCCGACCCCGGAGCCGCTCCCGGAGGAGCCGGAGCGGCCGCGGCCCGGCCGGGGAGGCAGAAGATCGTCATCAAACAGAGCGTTCCCAGCGCCTGAGCCCAGGGAATGGCGGGAGAATGGTGGGATAACGGTGGGATAATGGTGGGATAACGGCGGGATAATGGTGGGGAGGGAGCGGGAGAACG